TGAACCAAGTATACGAAGAACTTTCGGAGAAAGTAATTGCGGGAGACGCAGCCAAATCAACAGATCGATCAGATTTCGAAGCGTTTTTGAAGAATCTCAAGGGGGTGAGTTGATGCAGTCACGTCTTGCAAATTGGGCGCCTCTTTATAAGCTCATTTCTAGATCATGAATGCAGAAAGGCCGTTTACAGTTATTCTCGATGACCCTCTGGCGAACTCGTACATGCAGAACTTGTATGCACCAGACCCAGACCCGAACATGTCGATCGAGACGTATGATCGGACATGGGAACAGAACGAGGAACTCGGACTAAATGACATAAAGGTCGAAGGCTACGAGTCGGACGCCCAGAAAGAAGTAATCCCAATTTAAGATTATGTTTCAACCAATTCCCTAAGTAATATAGCACCAACTTAAACTTTAAGTGTATCCCGCCGTAATGGCACTGAAAACCATAAAAAAAGGCCAGTCCTTGGAGTAGGAATTCGGAATGACTTTCCAAGTCACTTTTTATTCTTGTCGCGCAAGATTTCGCGTACGGTAGAAAGTTGGTTGCAGTCTGAGTGACACTGACAGTCAAGTTGCACTGTCGAAATTTCTGGCATCACGTGTTTCGGACAAAGTGAAAGTACGAGCTCGGAGTTGTACTTCGACCATGGCAACACCTGTTATCCTCGGTGTCAGCGCAGTAGCTGCTGCAATTCTCGGTCGCTCATTCATGAAGAATGGTCTCTTTTTGGGAAGAGGTGCGGCAGATCAATGGGTGAAAGGAGGCTTTCGCGCAAAGATGGACAGGAAAGAAGCACTCTCCGTTCTTGGGCTAAAGTAAGTCTCCTTCCACCTTGTTCATGATATCTTTTACTGACAATAATACTCAGGGATGGCCCACTCCTGCGAAATAAGATTAAAGATGCCCACCGTTCCATTATGCTCGCAAACCATCCAGACCGAGGCGGCTCGCCATACCTAGCCAGTAAAATTAACGAGGCCAAAGATCTTTTAGACAAGACAGACGGACCGCGAGCGCGTTGAATTTCTCGGTGAGCTAATCGCATCCATTTTACAAATGACATGGCTAAATAATGCCTAAACAGTCTAAATATTCAAATCCATACTGGACTGCATATGTATAATCTCTGCAATCGCTATACTTACCCCGCACCTCACTTGTCTGGCCCATTTTTGAGCTACCAGCAATTGTGATTTTTACTGGTACCCCCATTATCCTCTCTCATCATCAGCTCACATTGTATAGACTATTCTTGGTATGTATGACTAACCTAACTTTCTCCGTATTCACGCTGAAGAACTAGATCGTAGCGCGCTGAAGCGCCAATCCCCATGTGACAAATCCGTCACTTACCCATGATACCCATTATCTACACCCGTTATCTAAGTCTTTGATGTCTGATTTGTTCTCATTGTTCATTATACTTATCTTTTATCTCTTTCAATCTTTCCTATTACTATATAGAGTATATTATGGACTAGTAAGCGTCAACTGTGTCGACAGATCCCTTGCTTGCAGATAGACATTTATTCATTTTTTTCTATGCTGACCATTATTGAGCTTAACAGTGAATTTGTAGAATTGTTAAAGCACTGAATAGCATGTGCCATGATGGGTGCAAAAAAAAAAAACACGAGGGAAAAAGTAGCCAATTCCGGCTTTCAATCTGTAACAGGAGCCTTACAAGTGTATGAATAGTATCACATAGGAGAAAACATTCTGCAAGTACGACAAAGCCAAGGTTGAGCAGATCAGATGATGAACATGGCGATAATCGGACATCACCAGTTTAAACGGCATCTGTGAATTATGGATACCCTAGAACTCCTTGCAAGCAAGAGAACTCCGTTTTGCGCAGGTAACACTGCCATTGTGCGCAAGGTAACACTGAGTAGTGTTATCAGTTGTACTAATTTTCATAATATATTTTGCCAGTATATGGCCAGCCCCTGGGCCAGGCAGTATTAGGCTGGCATATCAATGATCACAATCACGGCAGGCGTAACTAATGCGACACATCTCTCTCTTCCTGCCAGCACACCAGCTTGTCTTCTGCGCATTCTCAACAGTTCTGGGTGAACATGCCTTGACTTTGCCAGCCCTAGGTCCCCAGTACTTGTCCTATGCTTAACATTCAATGGCTGCTTCATCACTTGCTTTTCACTTGTTGTTTTGAAGTTTATCAGCATGAATTTTGTAAAATATCGACTAAGAGTAAGTGTTTTCTGTTGATAGCTAATTTATAGTAAGTAAATAAGGTTTATATGCAAAGAATAACAAACAGAAAATTCTTGTAGTGGCGTAAAGTGAGAGTTTGGAAAAGGAAAACGTTACCACATAGGATAACTGCATATAGACTTGCACCGTCACTCTCAACACTCCCCCTGACTAGCAGAGACATACAAGTGGCAAAGACTAATGAGGTCCACTAGATGGTCATGCACTGGTTATGATAATCTCTTGGTGAACAGATCAGCAACATTTTCTGAAGAGGAAATGTGATGGATAGTGATATTCCCTTTATGTACTCATTTGCAAACATAATGGTGCTTTATATCGATATTTTTTGCTTGAGAATGGCCCTTTGTTGATTTTGCTAGTGCAATCAATGACTGATTGTCGACATGGATTGATAAGGGCCATTCTTGAGCCAGGTCTATCTCTGTTAGGAAATTGCTCATCCAGATAGCCTGTTGAGCTCCATGTGTTGCCATCATGTATTGTGCTTTGGTAGTACTCAGCGCAACATTATTTTGACATTTTGAGCTCCAGGATACCACTTCTCCTGCAGTGGTGAACATATATCCGGCTATGGATCTCCTGGTGTCTAAATCTCCCCCAAAATTGGCATCCACATATCCAATTGACTTGATTGATCCTCCAATTGGGACTTTCCATAGTCTGACGGGATTTCCCAATGATCCATGGAATTTTCCAGGTGTCCATTGGGACTTTCCAATGTTGTCTGGGAATTTCCAATGTATTTTGAAACTTCCCGCCTTGCTGTGGAACTTCCCATCTTTGCCTTGGGACTTCCCAAGTGTTTTTTTTTTACTTAGAGCCTGTTCAGTAGCAGATTTAGAATCAATTTTCGGAAATTCTAATTACATAACTTGCCTAATGTGGTAATCACGGAACATTCCTACAACACAAATGTGACAATTTTCATTGCTCATTTAGATGCGTCTCCCCTCCACCACTGTGTCATGGCTCGTTCAAAGGGCTCAAACTTCTCTAGTGCTCCTCCTGACAAACGTTCTCATGCTTTTGGGTATACAAATGATGAAAAATGGCTTCTAGACTACTTGATTGAGCATAAGTCAGCGGCTGGTGATAGGATGTCCTTCAAAATGGTTACTTTTATGGGTGCGGCTGCACACGTCAACCAGATCATCACCAAGGGAGGTCAGAAAACCTCTGATTCCTGTAAAAACAATTACCGCTCCGTGAGTTCATGTCAATCTGTTGTTAATCCTGGCTGATCAATAGTAAATCAGCTCAAAATCATCTACAAGCTTGTTGATAAGATCTGGAACAACTCTGGATGGTCATGGGATGATGATAAGGGTGTTCAAGTGTCGCCTGAGAAGTTAGGGACCTGGGAGGCTTTTATTGAGCTGAATCCGGGGGCAGAAGAGTTTGCCAGTACTGGATGAGTTCATCTTGCAGCATTTGATCAACTTGCTCCCTCTGCCGCTTGAGGTGCCTATGTATATCGTGCTACACAAGGGGCTGCTTCTCAGGATAATGACATAGTAGACCTAGAGACAGAGGCAAGCCTGGGGACCACCACACAGCCTGAGAATAATAGTGATTTGAACAGTGAGGAGGAGTCTGATGATGAGGTGCGTAGAGAGTAATCATTTCAATTATATTTTATTCTTATTTTTTAGGCCGATCCTCCCCCCGTCACTCCTGCTCCACTAGTGCGTAAGCGTAGTGCTGCCTCTATTCCTCGCACATCTCAAAAACGAACCCGTGTTGCTAGTGATAGTCAAAGCCTTTCTAATATCCATTCTTCTATGTGTGAATTCAACACTATCTTTGCGGAATCCTTTGGTAACAAGAAGTCTGGGCTTGAGGCTACCCCATGCCGGAAACAGCGGGCAATTATCCGTGCTCAAAAGCTGGAAACAGGGTGGCTCAGTGACAGTCAACTGGTATCTCTTATTGGGCTTCTCAAACGAGATATTACCGCAGTTGACAGCTATGAAGTCTTGGAGAGTGATGGATTGCAGAAGGGCTGGAAACAGGGTGGCTCAGTGACAGTCAACTGGTATCTCTTATTGGGCTTCTCAAACAAGATATTACCGCAGTTGACAGCTATGAAGTCTTGGAGAATGATGGATTGCAGAAGGAATGGATTCGTCGTAAACTTGAGAAGGAAGATGATAGGCAGTTTCTGTAATTAATTATCTACTCTTCAAATGTAAGCTCCTCTCGCTCTGCCATGATACTTTGGTAGCTCTCCCACATCTCCTGAGCAACCTGGTCCCAAAATGCATTTGCGCAAGATTTTTCAGCTCTCCTGGCTGGTCCTTGTGCTAATGAGCCAAAGTTTTGCTCTGTAGGTGGTAAAGCACCTGGAACAGGATCCAATAAATCAGAGAGGAGAGAGGCTTCTTTAGAATCATGGTTCAAAATATAGTTCTGAACAGCAGCAAGTGCCGGAGGAATCATAGCTTGAATATCCATGTTGTATTTAGGAGGACGTGTCAGAATGGTAAAACTCTCCTTTAAGACCCCAAAAATGCGCTCAATAACATTACAAGCAGAAGCATGGCGCAAATTATAGAGCTCTTCACGATTTTGAGGCTGCACACTTCACTGCAGGCACAGACTAATTTTCCTTGAGAAACACTGATTAGAAACATGTATTCTGTTGCTATTTATTGTTTTTTGAGAAACATTTGAAATCTAATTTTATTCAGTTTTTAGAAATATTTATAAATTTTATTCAGTTTTTCTTTGAGATATGATAAAATCTAGATAGCATGACCACACCAGGGATTGAACCTGGGACCTCCTGCAAATCATGGACAGGTGCTCTTAACCACTGAGTGGGGAGAGGCATCACCTGCCAAAATAACGGTCTCTTTGGTCTTATTTGTTCCCTGCCAAGCGCTGGTTCCCGGTTGGACCATCTTTTCGACGGGAAACCGCAACATGTAGCCACACTGGGAAAAAAATTGTTACAGTCGATAGAGTAGTAAAATAGCCTACCTTCACGGGATGCAAGCCACTTTTTTGATTTTTTTTTTCATACGCACATGCAGTGTCCAATTTCCCGAAGAAAAATGTTCTAGTTTTCTTCACACTGAAAAGAAAAAAAAAAGAGCTTGCATCGAGCACTCCTTAGCTTCTTATAGATCAACCTGTGTCAGAATTTTTTCATATAGTGAGGAAGAGGAACGGTTCCTCCTTCATTTGTGGGTTCTGGATGCGTGGGAACTGATGATCAGCACCGCATTCCAGACGCGATCTTGACACGATTGACACTACATTTTGCCTCCGAAACGTGCCTCTGAGGTTGTCACTGGTTGTTATTACTCTTGAAACACTCTCAATATCTGTTATGCCCACCGTATCTGGAAAAAGGAAGTCCTCAGCTTAACGTTCACAGCTTCAAGCCCTTCATCACCGCTGATACACCTACCATACTTCTGGGCCTAGAATCGGCAAGAAGCATAGCGGAGATCTTACCGACTTTTTTCGATTTTTCCGCTAAGAGCACACGCGACGCGACTGGTCATGTGATTTGCATGTGATTGACCGGACCGGTAGCGGCTTTCCTTACCGACTCGACGGATAATCAACTCAGCCGTTATCTTTGGGCCTTAACCGCTAAAACATTATATCCCTGGCACCGGTTCAAATAACCGTTTCTCCCCGCTTCTCCGACCCCTATACCACATCACGCCATCCTCGCTAGCTTCACGCGACGCTAGAAACCTTTATCCTCAGACCGGCAATACCTTATCATGGAGTCCTACCCTCGGCCGACCGTTTCCAGCCCCTGTGTCTTAGTCATTTGACATATTCTGTCAACGGCTATGAGTTACAACATTCTGCCGTTATCTTTACAACCCCTGAGTTGGCGACAGCCCCTATTTACCTTACATTCTACCTACAGTTTATAAACCACTTACGTACCACAATAACATCGGTTGACCTTTCGATCTCAATTCCCCCGAAGTCTGATTCTCTTGGTTTCACCCGCTATCTGTCTTATTCGTTTCCGAAAGTCTATCGCTATTGACGGTGTTTACGCTGTCCAATTGTTGATATCTCGTACGGAGTACCTCTTCGTGGTGCTCATCGCTTATCGCCGTCTTCGTCTATCGTATCGCTAAGCTTGGACTTTGTCCCAGCA